TAGTTTTCTATTCTCATTCTTCTTTGGATCAAATTTTACATGGTATCAAAGCAAGTTTTTGATCCTAAACACAATAGCTAATTCTCAATTGAAGGACAAGCGCTGACGTCATCACGTTTGCGATGATATTGTGATGGCATCATCAGTCAGGGAATTCGAGATCGCCGGCCTGCTTGATTTACATGGGCTACGTGGTATAATCTGTTTTTTTTTTTTAANGGCTGACGTCATCACGTTTGCGATGATATTGTGATGGCATCATCAGTCAGGGAATTCGAGATCGCCGGCCTGCTTGATTTCCATGGGCTACGTGGTATAATCTGTTTTTTTGTTTTAAGGTCATCTAGCCAGTTTCTCAAATTTTTAAATTTTTTCAGAAAATAGGGCTCAAAATCTCAGATCTGTGAATTTGGGGAGTTTTATCCCCAAATTTTCTGCTTCTAATCTCTTCTATGAGGTGCGATTAAGAGTTTTAGTTGTTGGATTTGAAGCACATTGAACTGGATTTTGTTGCCTATTTGTGGATTTGAGATTCAGCTGTAGCTTGTTCCTCTGTCGGGTCCATTGGTTCTTGCTACTGTGATGATGGGTTCATTTTCTAATCTTCTTGAATGTTCATTCTCTTGGGTTACGTGGGTTGTTGCTTTGCTCGTGTTGATTTCTTCACTTTGAGGCTTGCTGGTTACATCGGCTTGCTGGTGTACATCGGTAGAGTATGCTGTGTTGTTCTTCACTTTGAGGGTTGTTGGTTCATGTTGTTAGAATATAGTGTGTTGTGTGCTTCTATTGTGGGCCTTATTTGTTTGTATTGGGCCTTCTTTGTTTTCTTTTCTTCTGAGCCCCTCATCAACCAGATTCTTTGTTTGCTTTTGTTGGTGCCTTCATCAAACATAGGAATCTGGTAGGGTTTGCGGCCAACTAGGATTTTGGACAATTTTCAGACTCTCTTCAGGCCATCAACGTGAAATTAACTGGCGATAATTGCTAGGCATATGTCATGAAGAATTTCTTATTCGGAAAAGATATGTAGATTTATATTAATGATGTAGTGCAAGTTTCAACGAACACTAAAGCAGAGAAGTATGCTAACGTGAAAAACACCTGGGATATCAACAATGCTAAAATCATAGTTATAAATCGCGTAGCGGAAGACGCGTCATTTTTCAAAAATAGTGTATCGTATCGTATCGTGTATTGTAAGATATGCTCAATTTTAATTTTTAAATAATTATTATTTATATATATATATATATATATATATATATACCTTTGTAAAAAAATCATTAACTCATAATAATATAATATTTTATTAATATTCCACAAACTATTCAAGCTCCCAACATATTTTAGTNATTTTATTAATATTCCACAAACTATTCAAGTTCCCAACATATTTTAGTTATATTAAAATTCAAAGACCTTTAATTCAAACTTTTAACATTAACTGCTTGAACAACTTTAATATTAATCAGAAATTTTGAACTCAATTGAATAACATTAACAACTGACTTTATTTTATTTTTTAAACCACAACTACTAAAACGACGTTTCATTGGCCAGTGATTTAAAAATAAGTTCTATGGTAAAACAATGTCATTTCAGCCAAAAAAAAAAAAAAAAGAATCGTCACGAATCATATCGTGTATCGTATGATACGGTGCAAAAACGATACAGAGACACGATACATATCATTTTTTAGGTGTATCGTGATATATCATACGATAAGTATTGCGTATCGTACGATATTAATAACTATGACTAAAATCATTACTTGTATTAATAACTCAGTTGATCAGACCATTGATGTTCATTTGATAAAGTTCACCACACCTAAAAAAATTTGGGACTATTTTGATGTTAGAGATTTTAGTTTATTATTAGGGGTAGTTTAGTCATTCTCTTTAGTTTATGTAGCCCCAAGGGACTTTTATTGTGTATCTTGTTTAATGTTTTGATAGATTATTGTGGTTGATACATATTTTTTCTTTTTCTCACTTCTTTGTTTTCGATTAATATTATCATAGTATCAAAATCATTATGATCCTAAACACAAAAATAGTACAATCATGTTCATCTGAAGAAGAAACTAAATGTATTTAGGATTGATGTCATCATCGGAATGCTGACATCAGCAATGAGAAGCCATCGGAGACACTTGGCTTTTTGTTTTTTTTATGGGTAACTTCATAGTACCACTTGTTTTCTGTTTTGAGTTCAGATTGTTAGATTTTTAACTTTTTTGATAATTTTTTGTGAATATTCTTATTCCTTTTCTCGCTTCTATGTTTTTGATTAATATTATCATGGTATCGNTTTAACTTTTTTGATAATTTTTTGTGAATATTCTTATTCCTTTTCTCGCTTCTATGTTTTTGATTAATATTATCATGGTATCGGAGCCATTATGATTCTAAACACAAAAACAGTACAATCATGTTCATCGGAGGAAGGAATTGAATGTATTTAGGGCTAACATCATCGTCGGAATGCTAACGTCGNCGGAGCCATTATGATTCTAAACACAAAAACAGTACAATCATGTTCATCGGAGGAAGAAATTGAATGTATTTAGGGCTAACATCATCGTCGGAATGCTAACGTCGGCAATGAGAAGCCAACAGAAACACTCATCTGCTCGATTTTGTATGGGTAACATCATTGTACCACTTATTTTTTTGTTTTGAGTTTAGATTATTAGACTTTTTATTTTTCAAAAATTTTTGTGAATATTCATGTGATTTTTGCGATATGGAACTCCGATTGGATTTCCTTGAATTTTTTGCTTCGAATCTCTTCCACAAGGTGCGATTTAGGGTCTGTGGGTGCTAGGTACAGGGATTCGAAGTTTGGCAAAATCTTGATGTTTTCTACTACCACATTATGAGTTTGAGGGGGAGGGGGTGTTAACAGTAGTTTAACATATTAGTATTAGTATTAGGGATAGTTTAGTCATTTAGTTTAACTTGTGTTGTCCTACTATACAAGGGTCTCTGCTATGTATCTTAGATTAAATGATAAAAACATTGATTGGTGTGTCATAATAATCGTATTATTTTCTTCTTTTCTCTTCTTTGTGTTTGATCAAAGTTAACAGTACAGACTTGAGCATGAAATTTGAATTGCACGTAAGATGATAGAATATACAAGAGTTTTACTTAGTTATGACTGGATATTGTTGGCACTTACTATACCTATTGAATTGAGTACTAAAAGGGTATGCCACACTTATAGATGGGAGCAGAGGTTAGTGCAATTTTTTACGGCACTCAAAGATGACTTTTAGGGACTTCGTGGTTCAATTATTTGTCGTCACCCACTTCCCTCAATTGATGCAGTGCAATTAATTTTTGGCTAAAGAGGTTTGTCTTAAAACCCTTTTTGGAAAGGACTTCTTCCATTGCCCAATCAGATTGTATTGCTCATTCCTCCTTAGATGACTTCTAATTTATAAAACAAGTATCGAGGTCGAGTTGTTTCAAATGAGTGTAGCTTTTATTATGAGAAAGGCTAGTGGAAGGCATAGTGCCCTAAATTGGTGAAGAAGAATGCTCAAGGATCACTGAGTTAGTCATTTAAGCATAGAAATTGTCATACAACATCAGCTGCAGCGGTAGTGGGTGAGTCAGCTTCATCATTTGCAGAAGTTTTTCTCTCTCTCCATTAGCCTGGAGAGAGAGAACACTAGTGTTGTTCATATTGTCCACAACTTGGTATTCCATTAGGGTACAAAGCATATTGAAATTGACTGACGTTTTTTGACAACACGAGTGCTATTCAGATGCCCACAACTTGTTATTCCATGAGAATACAGAGCATATTGAGATTGACGGCTACTTTGTGCGCCATCATCTTTAGTTGGCCACTATCTTTCTATCTTTTTTTTTTTTCTACTATGCAGTTAGCAGATTTCTTTACGAAATCTCATACCATAGTGCGCTTTTGTTTTCTTCTTGTCAAACTTTTGATGTTCTCCACTATAACATCATGAGTTTGAGGGGAGCGGATATTAGAATGTTTAGATTATTCTAGTATATTTAGTATTGATGGTAGTTTAGTCGTTTACTTTATTTTGTTTTGTCTTACTATATAAGGGCCTTTACCGTGTATTTTTATGTTTTGTTGATATTTTCTCTTTGTTCTCTTCTCCCATCCAAGTAAAACTAATTGGCAGTGAGTGTAGTGACCCTCCATTGGATCCATGTAATTTTTCGTTGTGGGATAGTTTTCTTCACACCTTTCCTAGCGTGCGACCTGGAGTCGGACCTTGTTTAACAAATTGAAATGAAACAACAAAACAAATAAAGTGGAGCTAAATTGAAATAAGCTAATAAACAGATAAGGAAATTCAATTAAGTGAGATACACGACAATAGTTATCAAACTTGGACCGGACTGACAGTTTGACCTAGAAAACTGGTGAACCAGGACCTAAATCGGGTTGGTTCACTACTTAGATCATTCAAGCAGCAGAACCATCCAAAACCTATAGAACCAGGCGGTTTCTAGAGTAGTCCTCCAAACCGAACGATTAGATAAAAATTGGATGGATCAATTAATTCTTTAAAAAATCAAACATTTGGGCATTTTTACCCTAACATGAGACCTCCCCTCTCGTTTTCTTTCTCTCTTTCTCTCACTCTGTAATCCCATTTGCACCTCTCTCACTCAACAGCAACAAACCGGAGGCAATACATCTCAGATTTTCCTTTGGCTGTCCAACATCGTCTATTCCCTCTCCTTTCTCTCGCCCTCACCCTCATAGTTGTATAATCGTATCAACACCCTGTTCTTTTGCAACTATTTTGATCCATAGTTATGTTGTGTATATTTGTGGACAAAATAGAGAAACTGACTCATGGGTAATATTCTGGACTTACAGTTGTCTATTTTCAAAGCCTATCACATGTATATGGAGATTGAGAGATTTTGCAACACAGGGATTTTACCACTTGGCTGCCAAACACCTTCATAGGGTAAAGGGGATGTTGAGTCCGTGGCCAGATGTTGTCGCATGGTCTCATGGCTCTTAAAAATTCTTGTTTGCTACTTTTATTTTTCCTTTTATTTTTTTTTCCTCCGTCTGTAGAGTTGTCATCTTCGCATGATTTCGTCTACTGTAAATAATACTTTAATGGTGGATGCTTTTCCTGGATTGGTGTTTATTCTTGTGGGTGTTTGATCATATATAACGAAGATGGAGTATATCATGTAGCACACAGCTGATCATCTAATCTCTTTGTGGCTTTTTTGGTTGGCACAGTTAGTAGATTATGGTGGCATTATTTGTATTTTGGAATGGATTATCCTCAAGTAGTGGTTGTGTCATAGGGTTTTATTTGATACAGTTTCTTTTCATTGAACCTTTTCACTTGTTAAGCCATGCTATGTGAACTTTGATTGAAGTACATTTTTTTTTAACTTAGCTTTATAAATCATCTTGAAAATTGGATGCATTGTATACACGCATAATAGTTTTTGTGCTTTTATTTGATCTATTATACCTAAAACATGCCATTTTTATAATATTATAAATTCATAACAGATTTAATTATTATTATTTTTTTATTATATGTCCGGTTCGATCTGTGACTCAACGGTTGAATCAGTGACCCATTGACCTAGTCCCTATGCTGGCTTGATGTCCAGTCCAGTTTTGATAACTATGGACACAACTCACCAAGCACCAAGACTTAGCTGTGATAACATGTCAGACCATTTAATCCAATCCAAAACCAATTTACAATAGGTGAAGTTACCCCCAAGTATACAACCCAACCTTGGATTTGTTTAATTGTTCGATGTGGGATGGGTCACTTCACATATGGANACTTAGCTGTGATAACATGTCAGACCATTTAATCCAATCCAAAACCAATTTACAATGGGTGAAGTTACCCCCAAGTATACAACCCAACCTTGGATTTGTTTAATTGTTCGATGTGGGATGGGTCACTTCACATATGCATTTATTATATAATAAAAATGTTTGCAGTTCAGCACCTAATATAAGTGGAGCACTTATTTTGTAGAATGGCCAGTTATATCACCATTGAAACTGGAGATGTCATTAAGCTTATGTACATTCTCCAAAATCTTAAGCTATAGTATTGCTTTGAGGAAGTTGCGAGTATAAGAACAAAAGAGAGAAAGAAAATGAAATTCTGAAAAGAAAACCTTTTTGGGTTTCAGGTAATCAATAAACACTAAATTTCCAGTAAATATCTTTTTTCCACATTTGTTCTCAGAAGTCGGTGTGTTTCCACGGTAGCTATCAGCAACTAAGTGCTTCAAACGTTGAAGTTATTAGAGAATTTTTCCACTATGTATATCAAACTTTTGATGCTCCCCCCTCATATGTGACCACCACTCACCCATGAAGGTGAAAGAACTAGATGTATCGATATACACAGAGAACATGACTCTGGTGCCTTGCTTTATATGCAAAAACACTATTGAAGTACCATGATACTTGAACCTTTGACCTGTAGAACTAAAGTTCCTATAGCGTGCCAAACTATCAAATATCCGGAAGTTTAAGGTATTAAGTAAAGGGCTCAAAATGTATATCAAACTCTCAACAGTAGACTGATGAAAGCTTAATACTTGGACTAGTTTATCACTTATTTCTACTTGTAATAGGGGGTGAAGAGGATTGGGCCTTGAAGATAGATGCTATTATGGATTGCTGTAATGATGTATGCCTAGCGGGCAAAACCCAAATTCAGGGCTTATCTCCATGTATGAAGGGCAAGAGGTTGTCTGAGGCCACCCTCACTTTGCGAACTCCATGCCAGGCAAGTTTTGGCATTGAATGTTCCATTCTTCTCGCCTTTTATTATTATGAACTTTTATCATCTTTCAGCTATATGCTTTTTCAATATTGTCATCTACAAACAGATCATTAAGATGTCATCTAGTGCCTTGAAAGTGTGAGTTCATTTTATTACACCGACAAATGAGTGGGTGTTTTAGATTTGTGAAAGGATTTTAGGATTCCTTGGATGTGCGTCAATTTGTTTTAAAGAGTGGAAAATGCTTTGCTCTATTCTGTGGCAAAGATGTTTTCTAAAAGTGATCCAATTCTAAACTCAGTTCCAGCTGTTTCAGTCTTTAATATCATGTGCTACTCTTCTGTAAGTCGTATGATTGTTCTCTCTCTCTCCCTCTCTCGCACACACACACACAAGGCTGTTTTTTCCTCTATACCTATGGTAGTTGAACCTACTCCTTCCTCAAATGTGAAAGCAGGATAATACAACTTGAGCTGGTGTATTTAATTTGTTGGCCTCATTTGAAAGGTGCATGGTATCCTAGTTTTGCTTCATTCTTTAGGTGTCTCGAGGAGGCTCAAATTGCATGATCTGTAGTGAATTATATGTTAGAAGCCCTTGTGCAGATGGTAACACAAGATTTGTACTATATACTATGCTGCTCATGACAAAATAAGAAAGCAAATATACTTGTACATTCATCTTCATTTCTTGGTATTTCAATTTCACTTCATACTCAAGTTTCCTATGGTGTTCGAGTTGCCAGACCACTACCAATATAAGAGCAGTAGAAAACCTGCTAGTATTTGGGTTGGGTGGGTTAAATGAGATATTGTGCTATATACTTTCCTTAATTTTCAGCATTGAATTTCTTTTGCAATATTTTTGAAATTTATTGAATCCTATTTCCATTCTTTCATTTTCTGTTTGATATTCTTGGAATTATTATAAAAATACTTGTTCTGCAGGAACTGGATGATATATGTTACGAGAACAATTGGTCATTACCAACATATCATGTCTCGCCGTCAGATGGTAAGTTCATCTGTGAATGTCTACATGTTGTCTCACTTTTGCTTTTTGCATGCTAGTGCATGCTGCTGATGGACAGTACCTATTCACGAAGTAAGGATGAAGACGATGGTAGAAAATATCTTAAAAGTCTTAAATCAAACTGGTCTTACAAGAATGGCAGTCATATGCATTACCTTGGTGGTCTACCTGGTTCTGTGACCCTTGAAGAATTCAAGCTGGCATGTTGCTGTTTTCTTTTATAGGGTTGCCCAAAAAGTTGTGAAAACATGGTTTACGAATAATGTGCTATCTGTTTTGTATCCAAAAAGGATGAATATGATGGCACTAAAATCCAGATTTTTTGTTTTTACTCGTAAACAAAAATCCAAATACTCCCCTTTCATCTTCAACAACCAGTATTTAATGATTTCCATTGGCCAAAAGTGTATATATATATATATATATATATATATATATAGAGAGAGAGAGAGAGAGAGAGAGAGAGAGAGAGAGAGATGTTCCAAGTCAAATGGTTGTTCGTGCGGTGAAAGTATCTGCCTTACATTTTATGCTATGAGGGAAAAGAGAAGTTTTCTAATTGACATGTCTTGGTTAAAGAAAGAGGAAAAGTTTCCTGATGACACAGCCCCCTTACAATACATTTGCTCATCCTTTACCACAAAATATGATCAATTTCATGCGAGATTGAACTAATTTTTGTCATTTATTGCCTTTCGTAGGTGGCTTTCTGGCTGATGTAACTATTAAAGGGGTGGATTTTGAGTGTTCAGCTGGGAGTAGCTTGCTTTCTAATCCTCGTGAAGCCCGGGAGTCAGCTGCTACACAGATGATTGCCAAACTACAAAGTATGGCAGGCCAGACACAGTAGTTTTTAGGTATGTCTGTTAATGGACTGCTTCAGAAATGTATATTATCGGTAGAAATACCTCTTCCCTAAGGTTCGCAAGTTCCCATGTGAAGAAGAAGTAACTTTTCAGTATCAAGAATACTTATCTGGGCTATGCTAAACGTTATGTTGGTGGCTGCTTAGTTTTTTGGGGTACCTGGTCTGATCCTATTGAGTGATAGTCAACAGGCATTGCTCTGAAGTAGTCCCAAACACAGGCAATTGTGTTCTGTTCATGTAAATGGTGTATGTAATCTAAAATCGCCCTTTTCAAACTATCGACTTTTTTACCATGAGAGTTCTTCCCCTAACCATGAATTCTTGGATATATTTTTCCCTTTACCAAACCCATGTGTTTCAACTTTAATATTGTAAACTCAAGCGCAGGTTGAGTGAAGTAATATATTTTTCGGAAGACCGAGGTCGAANCATGTGTTTCAACTTTAATATTGTAAACTCAAGCGCAGGTTGAGTGAAGTAATATATTTTTCGGAAGACCGAGGTCGAACCCTCTAGAAATTGTAACAATCACATAAATTCTAAAATAAACTTAAAAATGATTGATTTGTTTAGAGAATTGTTAAGCAAAGAAAGTTGATTTAAATAATTAAAATAGTAATAAAAATATTAGAGCATTAAGTATTTCTTCTCAATTCTGTACAATAATGATTAAAGACTCAAATTTTAATTTGAGACAAGAATCAGATGTTGGTTAATTCAAGTAACAAATCTTAAAGTTATAATTAAAAGATTATTGAGGAACTTGAATAATCAACTAATTATATTATTTTATAAAATAATGATAATTAATTCAAGTATGGAATAACCAGTTATTTATGCGTTGGGAAATTCAAGCAATTTATGTACATGACACAATGATTTAAGGACTTATATAGAGCAAAAATTTTGCTAAGAAATCAGAAGTTTAATTAATAAAACATCATAAATCATTAAACTCAGAATTAATAACATTATCGTATTTCATTGAAAGATTCTCTCTTAGTTTTAGCTTAGCCTCTTAGTTAGACATGACAATAAAATAAAAATAAAAAATAAGAAAAGAATAATAATCTAAATCCTAATCTTAATCCTCTCTCTCAATAGGTGAGAACTCTTATTTATAATAAAATAAATCTTAAGTACAGGTCGGAAGGAATTCTTTTTTTCTAAAAAGAAGTCTTGTAAGGTTAAAATATTTGGGGTGCGGGTACAAAATTTATCCAGATTTCGAATTTGAATTTCACATATTTAAAGGTTGAATCACAAACATTTCGTGAAATATACTTTTGTAACCCATGGAGTCTTCTTTCCAACCCTACAAAAATCAAGTCAATCGGATATCGGATTCGAAAGTTATGACGAAAATACTGAAGACGTGTCAAATTCTTATTTTCTAGGATACTTTCTTAATCCAGCTCTAAATGAATTTTTTTCCAACTTGGACTCTTATAAGGATTAAATTGCTGTCATATCTTCAAGTCTTCCTATTTCAATCTTGACTTTTCAATCTTTATCAATTGTGATTCTTCCTCTAGTGATTAATTCATTTGTTTTATTCATTATTACTTTAAATTAATCAATTTATCTGCAAAATAAACCAAACAACTAGAAAAAGTATCAAACTAGAAAATCAAGGAATTTAACACATTTAATCACAAATAATATGTAATTAATCAATCATTAAATATAATAAAATAACAATTTTGATGGTTAATCACCATGCACTTCTTATCTTATTTTCCAAATCCATTGGTTTCAGAAGTCTGGTGTTTTTCATGCTTGCACACAGCATGCTTCCAGTCCTTTTTTCATTTCTCTTTTACAGTGGCCAAGAGGGAATGAGTACATCAAGACCCCTTCAGAGATTAGAAGATTTTCCTACTGTTCCACAACTAAGAGCTGTATAATCCTTGCATGTTGGCACCAACCCTTCCAACTTCAGAGATTCTTTTATCGAAAAATGTGGGTATTAGCTGAAAATACTTGCAAACTACATAGATTTATCTCGAGGCTATTTATTTAAAACTGCAGCTCAGGTTGAATTGCAGGATCCATACTGCTATTTGTCCTGTACCCTCCTTTATGAAATTTGTCTTTCCGACTGCAGAAGTAAATTTACTGTCAAACGTACTGGCTACAAGTGTGCATATTTTCACTACAATTAGTATTTAGGCATCAAATTTGTAACATTGGGGGTAACAACCCATGCACAATCTCAACTTATTGGCTTCAGAAGCTTATAAAAGATTGTAGTGCCTGAGAAAGTTCACTTGAAACAATTGACACAGCCAGTAGCTGCAGACAGGGAGGGACAAATTTCACTAAGAAGAAAATGAAAACTGATTGTGTCAATGTACAGATCATGTTTAAAGCAAAGACAATAAGTCAATAACTGATGGCATATAAAAACTGGGAGATAACCCCAGTGAGCTGAGTGTGTGAGCAAAAGAACAGTAAGAACACAAGGGTTCACTAAGTTGAAGAGTTATGCTAGTCAACTGTAATGGAGTTTTTAAGAGAGTTTAGAGATATAAAAAATTACGAACAGAAAGAAAATCAATTGCTATGAAATAGCGAGTCTTGCACGACGTGTAAATAGTTCAGCTCTGATGCAAACTGAAGCCGGATAGCTGGCTGAGATTCAAAAGAACAGAAAAAAAAAAAAAAAAACTACTGATTTAAATATTCAATAGAAAAAAAGGTCATCTACAATTGTAATAAGTCTGGTATTTATAGGTGTATCACAGTGTGTCCAAATAAGGAAATAAAAAAGTGATAATTGGGGATAAGTCTTCTGTAGGGAACTTATAATGATTTAAGTTCATTACTTAAACATATTTAGAAATAAGTCCTATTCTAATTTGTTTACTAAATAGTTAAGTTCACAATTTTTTAGTAAGTCTTGTGCGCTCACATGCCCATTTGACTAAGAGTGTTAATCTAATCCCCTCCGCCGGTGGCTGATCTCCATTTTCTAGTGTTGATGGTGCTAGTTTCACTACAAATGAGATGCAAGCTATCAAGCGTCAAATAGTCCGACTTGATGTTTTTTTTACACCTGCTTTCATTTCTACTGCTTCCAACTTTGCTCACACAGGTATACATGCCAATGTTTTTACTGCCACTTGTTCTTCTAATCCTTGGATTATCGATTCCGGAGTCACTGGCCATATGATAGGTTCCTCGTTCTCCTGTTTGAGCTTTTCCGCTTTTTCTTGGGACCTCTTGAGCTTGGTGTTACGACCATCAAGTTGGTCCTATAAGGACTGGACTAGTTTCATGAAGGCGGAGATCCCTTGGTCTCTTCTGGGGACATCATCTTGGGAGTTTACATCGTCTCGCGGGATATACCACCTAGGGGATGCATTCTGGCAATACTTTTGTCCTTCGTTTGAGCTCCAAGCATTACTTTCCCTCATGTCACTATTTGAGGGTAAGTATACTCTATAGTTACGCTCGGGATCGTACTCATTAGATTGATGATCATTACATGGTGAACCTAGCATGTTTCGTAGGTTTGACATGGCAGAATTTATTGTTTCATTTACCACAAGCGCTAATTGCACAAGAAAAAAATCTCGTAGCTATTAGGGATGATGATGTGGAATCTGAGTGTATGATTTTCTCGGGAGAAACGAAACGAATAACATCTTCCTATAAAACGAACAAACAACCTAGTATTGAGGTTGAATCGATTGAAGCCACTCTGATGTTTAAGTCAATAAGGGCTATCAAGCAACTTGCATGGAAAGAAATGCATTCCTTATATTTAAGCTACCTAGTATTGATAGTGTTTGTACCCTCTTCTAGGACTTTCGTCATTGGCCGTACAAGGTGGAACACCTATTGTTTAGCCAAATCTTCCTTAATTCGTGTTGGAATCTTTCCAGACTTCCTTTCTTATTGATCGATTATTACGTCAAATGTTTTAATGTGTGCCTATGATTTAGACAATTTTCTTATTGGTTGCCTAGCACTGCTTCTTGTTATTTGGGATAGCCCAACTATCTTTCTACTGGGTCTCGGTCCATGTCAATGCCGAGGCTTCATCCTATCAACCACCTCGTGTTTTTCGGGATAGCCTAGCTATATTTTCTTGTTTGGATAGGGCTCAATCCCTAGAGGATAGATTCAAATTATTACTCGAATTCAAGTTTCATAATATCTATTTCTAAGCATACTTCATTAAGCCAAAGTTTGCTCGACCAAATTACAATCTTGTTCAACCATGTTTTTATTTGTTTAGCCTAGTAGAGTCATTCTAAACAACTCTTTTCAGCACGTGTTTGCTGCCAAGTGGCCGAGTCCACTAGTCAAATCATGATTAGAAATTTTTAACCCATCATAACTGTACATCAAGTCTCTTGAGGTAGATAGAATAAAATTTGAGCTGGAGTTTTCTCCTTCTTCTTCTTCTTCACCGTAGTCCCTCTGTTTTCTTCAGTGAAAGAGTCTCTTTAGGCAATATCCCCACCCTTATTGATGTACAACATACCAAAAGAAATGATACACAAACTGCGTGGCTATTGTACTATACCAAAAAAGAGATTTTGGGTCAACGAATTCCCGAACAAAAAACCAAATTATGGATGCAAATACTCTCCACATAGGCGGTAGTTAAGGGGGGAAAAGTGAAAAAAGGGTGAGAGTTTAAGGGGAATAAGTGTAATTTACCCTATAGAAAGGGCCATACAAATATATAATTTAACTTACCTTAATTATTTGGGCACAGTTCTAAAGTGACACCACAAGTCTCACAACCTTCTATTAAACAGAGACACAAAACTTCTACTTAAGGTAGCAAAACTAAAACCCAAAAAGGAAAGACAGGCTGACATCAAAAATTAATGAGTGCCATTTGTTGAACATTCATTGGGTGGCAGTCGGAAGGTGGGCCAGAATAGGCCCTTTGAGCAAGTATGGCAGCAACCACCGGTGTTGGATGGAAGGCATCCCAAAAAACATATTGGTTCCTATTTGAGCATGGAACTTGAAATGGAAGACATGTGATTTGCCCCTGGTTCCTCCCTGTTCCACAGCATGCCCTATCCACAGTATTAAACCCTGCCATGTCAAACTCAGTAGTTAGAAACACAATATGTCAAACTTCTCTTCAAGGTCATCTGACAACAAAACAAAAAACACTTTATCATAGTATGTTGGATTTGGGGTTGGAATCGAATTTGATCTAAATCATTCCAAATCTGAATTCAATTAAAAAATTTAACTACAAGTCCGATCTGTATATCTGTTAAATATCAAAATTCTAATCCACAATAAAAAAACGTTGGGAATCGAATGATGGATTCAAAAATTTAATTCACCTGAATAATTAGAACTCCAACAATGCTTTAAAAATTAATGAACAATTTGACCAAATTATAGTTAAATTCTACTTCAATTCATCCATCAATCATTCAATTCACCCAATTCCAACATTTTTAACTTTATTTAATCAATAACCAAACTAATTTAATGACTGGAAATAAATACAAAGATTGAACCTTAAGCTCTGCAACCCAAACAAATATGGATCACTCATACAAAGATCTGAATCCCATCGAAGATTGGGAATTTTGAAGAGTGAAGAGGATGAAACCTTATAGCAATTAGGGAAAAGACCAAACCCAAGAAGCAAGTGAGGGGGAGAGAGAGAGAGAGAGGGGATGGCTGGAGAATTGGTGGGCCCGGAAGGGATTCATAGTTGGGGAAAATGATGTAGACGACAATTGTCAAAAGCTTGGGGTTTGGGAGTTCTAATGTTAGATTAACCTAAATGAGTAATACTAGATGTACTTAAAAACTAAACTTAAAAATTAGACTCGATAATCTCAATCATTGAATAGGTACTGGGCCCCAATAAATGCTGGGACTACAGTGAAATCAATAATTGAGATTATCAAGTCTAATTTTTAAGTCCATGTAGCATTACTCAAGCCAAATTACAATCCAATAATTGCATTAAAATAGGTCAAATTAGAAATCCTTGTTAGGCAATTGTGGGGACCAAAGCACTCAACCCAAGTGGAAGGTGGCACATGCCACTTGACATGACAAAATTTGGCATTTGCCACTCGCATAAGGCAAGGCAAGGGCGGCAAGCCTTTGCCAGTCAACAAGGGGCAGGCCTTGCCACTTGGCAAGGGCAATCCAAGGCTACTCGGCAGAGGCAAGGGCAAGCCACTGCCAGTCGGCAAAGGCAAGCCTCTGCTAGTCAGCAAAAGGCAAGGCCAGCCTCTGCCAATCGGCATTTGTCTGTGGAGGGTCCTCATTTGTTATTCGTTACCCAAAACTTGCACAAGTCAACCACCTCCTTGCTACTTAAGTTGCGATAAACTCTGTTGCACTCCTTATCTGAAAGATTCTTTCATGGATAAGGATCATACTAGGACCTAGAGTTCTAATCAAATACCACTCTGAATATCTTGGAACTGGTGATAAGGGGTTAGGAACTAGAGTTCTAATAAAACTCTACCCTGTACTTATAGGGCCTGGTGACGAGGTTGAGCCAATCAACCAAGAGTTCAGATTCCTTTTGGACACATCTCCCTACCATTATAAATAAAGGCCTCCGGGTACCAGGTAAGGGTTTTAATCCTAGTCTATTCACTACATACTCTTCTTTGACTTGTTATTTGACATAAGCATCAGAGTCCCTTTGGCTACCCCTGATCATCGGTTCACTTAAGTATTCTTTTGTCTTGTAGGTTTCACTAAGGCTTCTTTATCACCCTTTCCATCTGTACGAGGTTGTTACTCTTTGTGTGAAATTATTCTTGCACAATGGGCACCGTCTGTGAGTAATGACTAAGTTTTCTATCAACGAAGAAGCCTCAAACCATGTCCGGTGAGAGAGCCCTCCTCATGGGAACCAGCTACACAATACTTCCACTACATCCAATTCTTGAAGATCCCACTAACTATGACCTCCAATTATCAGATGACGTAATATTCCGTGATGGAGATGAGCACTCTAAAGAAAAGCTTCCTTCTCATGCAACCTACCTGCCATAGGTGCAGAAGGTGGGTTTGCCACTACGATGGATTACCATGAGGCAATAAGAAAGAATACGGAGGAATTAGAAGTCCTAAAGCAAGGGCTCCTTCACTGAAAGGGCAATAAAATTGCTAGTCAGGTCATACATCCGCCTTGTCAAATTGGCCACCACAACGATCACTAACATGAGGCTTAATCCACCCATCACAAGAGCAAGTCACTGGCAAGGAGCTATTCGACCCATGATCGGTGTCAAGGTAAATATTCACCGAGATGCATTACTTCTCAATGCTTTCCTAGGGACCCTATACCCAGACGACACCCTCCTAGTTATATGGAGAGGGGAGGCGAGTCTCATAGGGAACGCTACCCTAGGGAGAGTAGAGAAAGACACAAAAGTTCAACTCGTCACTCTACATGAGATGATGTGGACGAGGATTATAGAAGAACGAAGCGTGGGTGCTCTGAACCAGCCCGTGAAGTGGCCACTCGGCTATAACACAACTTTGCTCAAGATGACCTCCAGTTTGGGGACGTCAGCTCTTAAGTGATTCCAAGGGATGTCTATGAATTTGGTTTTCTCTTGGAAACAACTCGTAGGGGAGTTTGTCTCTCGATTCATAGCCAATAGTCAGGAGCCAATGACCATTGACACACTCTTGGCACTACGCCAGAAATGTGGATAGACTCTCAATGAGTATGCCATGAGGTACTTGAAAACCTATACTGACATAGAAGAATGCAATGAGAAGACCACTTATGTTTCTTTCCTTTTAAGCCTCCCTAAGGAAAGTAAATTGAGGAAGCACCTCACCATATGGTTACCTCAAAGTATGTCATACTTGTTGGAGCAAATCAAGAGGTACGTGAAGGTGGAAGATGACAATGGACCAGTCGATTGGCTGCTAAATAAGAATCAGATTAAGGAAGACAACACTCCCAACCCATCAAGGAGAGAGGGGTCATCCAAAGGAAATAGAAACTTTTACCAAGGAACCAACACTGTCTTCAAGGAGTCTATTTATCAAGTCCTAAACCAAATCAAATATAAGAAGTATTTTAGGTCGCCACCTAAGGTGATAGGAGATCTGCCAAAGCGAGACCAAAACCACCATTTTCCTTATCACAAGGACAAAGGCCACCAAACGGAGGATTGCTTGGCAGTCAAGTGCCACCTAGAAGAGTTGGTCAAGTAAGGCCATTTCTCTCGATAAATTGACAAGGAAAAGTCTACCAAGGAACAGGAAGAGCAAAAAATCCAATCAAATGACCAACCAGATAACTAACCTTTGTGGTTACACCTCAAACAAACATTCGTGGTTGTACCTTAAGGCAACCTCCTTAGTTTCACCTCAAGACAATCTTCATGGTTGTACCTAAAATCGACCTCTATGATTGCACTTCAAGACGACCTCCTTGGCTACACCTCAAGCCAACTACCATGGTTTCACCTACAACCAACCTCCTTAGTTTCTCCTTAAACCAACCTCTGTGGTTGCACCTAAAGCAGATCTCCTTGATTGCACTTCAAGTCGACCTCTTGGTTGCACCTCAAGCCAACCTTTGTGGTTGCACCTACATCCAACCTCCTTTGTTACACTTCAAGCTAACCTCCGTGGTTGGACTATAAGCCAACTTTCGTGGTTGCACCTCAAGTCAATCTCCTTGGTTGCATCTAAAGTCAACCTCTATGGTTGCACCTACAACCAACCTTTCTGGTTGCACTTCAAGCCAACCTCTATGGTTGCACCTCAAGCCCACCTCTGTAATTGCACTCCAAGCCAACCTTCGTTGTTATACCCTAAGTTAACCTCCTTAGTTGTATCTCAAACCAACCTCTATGGTTACACCTATAGCCAACCTCTATGATTACACCAAAAAGCCAATCTCCTTAGCTGCACTTCTAGCCAATATTCGTAGTTGCACCTTCATTTAACCTCCATGGTTGCACCTCAAGCCAACATCTATGATTGCACCTCAAGTCTACTTAGCCTCCATCCATAATTTCCTTTCAAGGCTACTTGGCCTTCTTGCAACCTCCTCAATTGCCCTTCAAGGCTACTTGGCCTCTATGCAACTTATACGGTTGTCCTTTAAGGCTACTTGGCCTCCATAAAACCTCTAAGGATGCCCTTTAAGTTACTCAGCCTTCGGCAGACGATCAGTAACTTCTATAATTGCTTAAAAGGCTACTTAGCCATTTTTAAGGATTTGTCACCTGCGAGCATCAAACCTCTCAACTCATGGGGACCATCCCCTTTCAATTAGAACGGGGGGCACATGTGTTAGGAGATTTGAATCACTACCACCAAGAAACTTCTTCATGATCTAAGGAATCAGGAAGTCACTCTCAGGCCATGGAACATCCTCTCAATCTGGATATGACCCCTCAATCGCAGCTGCCTGAGAGATCTTCCCAACCATCTCCGAAGGACTTGTTCTTCTCCCCTTCATATTTCTTCTTGACTATGTTCAAAGATCTCAAAGTAATGATCTTAGACAACATTCTTCACTTGCTTAACATTTTCTCTCTTAGCCTTAACAAGTTCCTCTTGAAGTTTGCTAGGTCGAGTCTCTACCTCAGTAACTTTATTCTTCAAGAAGACATTCTCCACTCTGGAATCCTTAAGTTATTTCTCAAGAATGTCTACCTTAACCATATCAAATTCGACTTGGCTCTCTGAGCAACGCTTATTGCTCGATTTGCTCATGAGCAAAGTAAGTCAGTCCCCCGTACAATTGGCGCTGGCAGTTCCTCAAGCTCAAAGTTTTCCCTCTTATCTCCCTACTAGCTAACTTCCAAAGAGAAATGAAGAATGAAGGAAGGGGATGAGAATTTAAATCCTTAAGTTGCTTAGGCAAGTGAAGCCCTAGTCCCTAGGCAAAATGAACCCATTATCAATGAGTTGGGCCCAAGAGGTATCTAATCCTCAAACACATACCTCAACTAATGAAAAATGATTAATTGAGGTATTGTAGCAATTGTGGGGACCAAAACAGTTAACCCAAGTGGAAGGTGGCACATACCACTCGGCATGACAGAATTTGGATTTTTTCCACTCACATAAGGTAAGCTTGCCTTTGCTAGTCTGCAAGGGCAAGCCACAACTAGTTGGCAAGGATGAGCCAAGGCCACCTGGCAAGGGCAAGCCTCTGTCAATTGGAAAAAGGCAAGTCTAACCTCTACCAGTCGGCATTTGTCTGTGGAGGGTCCACGTTTGATATTTGTTACCTAAAACTTGCACAAGTCAACAATCTCCTTGCTACCTAAGTTATGATAAGCTCTGTCACATGCCTTATCCAGGAAGATTCTTACACAGACAAGGATCATCCTAGGACCTAGAGGTCTAATCAAATACCTCTTCGAATATCTTGGAGTTAGTGATAAGGGGTTAAGAACCAGAGTCTTAATCAAACTCTACCTAGTACTTATAAGACCTATTGTTGAGGTTGAGCCAATCAACCAAGAGTTCAGGTACCAGGTAAGGGATTCAATCCTAGCCTATTCACTACACACTCTTCTTTGACTTGCGATTTGACCTAAACATCAGAGTTCTTTTGGGCGCCCCCGACCACCGGTTCACCTAGGTGTTCTCTTGTCTTGCAGGTTCCATAAGACTTCTTCACCACTTTCTTCGTTTGGTTACTCTTTTTGTGTAATTATTCCCTCACATCAATTTTTAGCGATAATAAGTGCAGTCCATGACCAAAACAAGCAGTTGGTGAATTGATGAAAACAAATAATGCGACATTGTATTTTTTGACAAATGTTTTGGAGGATTTGTCACTACCACATACTGTTTTACTAATTTTGAAAATTGAAAATTTTGATCCATGATATCTTTTTTTGGATTAGAAGTTTGTAAAATTTGATTCACTTTAGTAATAAATTATCTCAAATCTCTAATATTAGATTATCTATAATGTTATAATGAGATATCTACTGTAATAAAATGATTTATCATTGAGAAAATTTATTATTGAATTAATAGTGTTTCCTGACTAGAGAAATTGATCCATTGAACAATGATCGTCTTGTGAAATGAAATAATTGCTTACCATATCTAGCTGGGCTATTTAGGATATCACCAAGAGCACCATAAGTGTTGCCGTATAGAAAGAGGGCACCAGGAGGGGTGCCGTTGTTTAGTTTGTTGACTAGCGATCTTAGCCCTTCATTGAAGGTACCCAACATTTGATTAATGTAGTCAACGCATTGTCCTGGCTGAGCACGACCAGTGGCCAACTGGTTAGGGATGCACCCAAGTGGTCCAATTCCTGCTAGCATGAATTTCCTTAGTCCTACACTATGTAGTGCCTGCAACACAGAAGACAATGTCGTCAAATGTTTTCCCAAGTAAGACAAATTATGATTATGTAAAGATTAATACATCGGTTGACAATTTTTTTTGAAGTAATTTTTTTAGCAAAAAAATAATTTAGTTGAAAAAATTCTAGAATTTAACTATCATTTTGTGAAATTAATCTATATGAATCGCAATGAATGATTTATATATATACACTTAAGGCTAAAAAATAATATTGTATAAACAAATGTTACTTAAAAAGTACTTTGAAATTAGTAAAACAAGAAAAATAGTTAAAAATCATGGTCATTAAGTACCTGCTCAAGAAAAAAAAAACAATACATAAGTAATCTTGTATTAATAGTTTAGCACCTCTGTTGCCTTAGAAACTGGGCATTCAGTCATGGAACTCGAAAAGTCCTGACCGAGCCGAGCTAATAAGGACGGGTAAGATCTGGTTACAATCTATCCATAAAACGATTGTGAAAGAAGAAAATAGAAGGACAATATTAACTATTTATTGCTTTGATATACTTTTTAATATACATAAGGAGGTTTATTTATACTATAAGAGAATGGTAAAGTATCCTAGTCTAACCGATGTGGGACAAAGAAAAACATGTAAACATATACACATTAACATTCCCCCTCAAACTTAAGGTGAGATTGAAGATGTTAACTTGAGCTTGCAAACTAAATCATGGTGGCGACCAGGTGGATGAACCTTCATAAAGATATCAACCGACTAATCAACCGAAACAACCAAAAAAAGAGGAAGAATACCCTATTGTAGGTGATGACACACAAAATAAAAATCGATCTCAATGTGTTTTGTGCGCTCATAAATGACATCGTTGTGAGCAATCTAAATTGCACTGCGATTGTCACAATAAAGAGGACTACTAGACTGGTGAGAAACACCCATGTCCTATAGAAGCCAATGAAACAAAGGAGCTTAGAAATAGTATTAGCAAGTGNAATTGTCACAATAAAGAGAACTACTAGACTGGTGAGAAACACCCATGTCCTATAGAAGCCAATGAAAACAAAGGAGCTTAGAAATAGTATCAGCAAGTGCTCGGTACTCAACCTCAATACTAGAGCAAGCAACAATTGTCTGCTTCTTNGATTGTCACAATAAAGAGGACTACTAGACTGGTGAGAAACACCCATGTCCTATAGAAGCCAATGAAACAAAGGAGCTTAGAAATAGTATTAGCAAGTGCTCGGTACTCAACCTCAATACTAGAGCAAGCAACAATTGTCTGCTTCTTACTCTACCAAGATATAAGAGAGTCACCCAAAAGAAAAAGAAAGCCATTGGTGGACCGTCGGTTAGTAGGATCATCTGCCCAATCAGCATCAGAGTAAACCTACAATGTCAAGGATGAAAGAGAGGAAAATAAAGCCCATGGAATACGGTGCCCTTCACATAGCGTAAGATGCGAAGAACAATTGCATACTGAATGGAACGAGGACCAGTCATAAACTGGCTAACGAGATGCACAACATAGGCAATATCCGACCTAGTAACAGTGAGCTAAATTAGGCTTCCAATAAGCTGTNGCAAAGTCAAGGATGAAAGAGAGGAAAATAAAGCCCATGGAATAAGGTTCCCTTCACATAGCGTAAGATGCGAAGAACAGTTGCATACTGAATGGAACGAGGACCAGTCATAAACTGGCTAACGAGATGCACAACATAGGCAATATCCGACCTAGTAACAGTGAGCTAAATTAGGCTTCCAATAAGCTGTCGGTAATGGGTATCATACAGTAGAAGCTCTCCATCAGTATGACGAAGTTTGATGTTGGTATCTAAAGGGCAATCAACTGTCTTACAATTGGTAAGATATGCATGAGAGAGAAGATCATAAGCATACTTGGCCTAGGTCAAATAGTAGCCATCAAAGGATTGTGACACCTCTAGTCCGAGAAAGTAACTGAGAGAGCTCAAATCTTTCATCTCAAAGTGCTGACTCAAAAATTGCTTAAGTTCATGAATGTTAGAAGGATCATCATCAGTAATGATCATATCATCTACATAAAATAGCAGAATAGTAATACTAGCATTAGTAAGATGAGTAAAACGAGTAGAATCATAGGGGCTAGAAGCAAACCCAAGTTGTGCAATCGTAGAGCTGAATTTGACAAACCAGGCACATGGAGCTTACTAAAGCCCATATAATGCACGTCGAAGGTGACATATCTTACAAGGAGGATGAGGACACCCATGTGGAGGTTGTATATAGACCTTCTCATCCAAATCATCATGTAAGAAGGCATTCTTGACATTCATCTAAAATAGATGCCATCAGTGCGCAGAGGCTAAGACCAAGAGAGAGCGAATAGAGGTAATGTGAGCAACATGAGCAAATGTCTCCTCATAGTCAATGCCTTACTCCTGTGTAAAGTCCTTGGCTATTAGACGAGCTTTATATCACACTTCAGAACCATCAACATTGGTTTTCCTCTTATATACCCATTTGTTCCCAACTATAGTCTTTCTAGGAGGCAAATCAACTAAATCTCAAGTACATGTTTTATGAAGGGCATCAAGTTCTTTAGACATAGCTCGCTACCAAAGAGCGTTAGAGCAAGCCTCACAATAACTACGAGGTTCATGAAGTGTAGCAAGAGTGGAAAAATAATGATAATTACTAAGATGAATAGGGGGAGACCTTACCCTATTGGAACGATGAACATCCAAAGTGGAAGAGGACTCAGGTGGATCGGGTGAGATGACATGACCAACAGATGGTCCAGATTCACGACGAGTAGTCGTTGAGTTATACTCAGATGGATCAGATGTGATGATAAGATAAACAGGTGATCCAAAGTCATGAGGAGCAGTCATTGAGTTATCACCCGATGAGCTTACATTACCTGCATCAAAAAAATTTGGGAAAAGATCTATAGATGAGTTAGTGAAAATAGGAGAATATAAGAAAGTATTGAATGGGAATTTTGAAACACTATTGAAGGCCTTGTGTTCCCAGAACTGAACATGGCGGAAGATTCGAAGACGCTTGGTTATTGGGTCATAACACCGATAATCCTTATGTTCAATGTCATAACCATAATCCTTATGTTCAATGTCATAACCAAGAAAACAACAGAGACTAGAACAAGGTTCAAGTTTTGTACGCTCATGAGGTGGAAGAAAGACAAAACAAACACAGCAAAAATTTTTTAAAAGAGAATGATCAGGTACCTTTCCATAAAGAAGTTCATATGGAGATCGATTAGAGATAGTAGGAGATGAGACCCGACTGATAGAGTAAATAGCAGTAAGGATGGCTTCTCTCCAAAAAGATTATGGGAGAGAGGTAGAGAGAAGGAGAGAAGGAGAGAAGGAGAGAACGAACAATGTCAAGAATATGATGATACTTACATTCTGCATGACCATTCTGTTGGGAGGTGTAAGGACATGATCGATGAGACAATGTGCTTGTTTTTTAAGTTCTTTAATGAATGGGGCATCCTTATACTCCATGGCAATATCATAATGAAATATTTTAATAGTGCGATCAAATTGAGTTTTTATCATATGCTTAAAATCACAAAAGATATTCAGTAACTTAGAGCGATCATGTAAAAGATAAATCCATGGGTTTTTTGAATAATCATCAATAAAAATTACAACATAACGAGACTCACCCTTAGTGGAGATAGGAGCTGGTCCTTAGATATCAGAATAAACCAAATCAAAAGGTGCAGAAGACAAAGAATCATTTCAACTAAAAGGTAAAGCTTTCTATTTGCCCAATTGACAAGACATAAAATCAAACGATTCAAATACTAGAAGACACAACAACATCAAGAGGTTGAATAGCACAAGTGTTAGGCATATGGAAATATGTAAGCTAAAAAAGGCGACCGACTTTACACCCGGTTCCAACGAGCTGACTCGTCTTCTGATCTTGCACATCACACCCTTTCTAAGAAAATATTAAGATAAGATCACATTTAACAAGTTGACCAACAAAAAGAAGATTTAGAGATAAGTTAGGAACAACATATGTGTTAGGTACAAAAAGAGTAGGGGTAGAAATAGGACCAATGTGAGTAACATACATGTGTGAACCATCAATAGTATATATGTTAGGCATAGAGCTTAAAGACTCCTTATGAGGCACTGGGGAAGGATCAAATGCCATATGATTGCAATAGGTTGAGTCAATAAACCATGGAGAAGATTTACTTGAGGAACTGACAAAAGAGGGGAAGAATGAGATAAAACCTTAGTCACAATTGTCTCAAGGTCAGCTACAGTAAGAGAAGACTTGAGGAGACTGATAAGGTAGGAGAGAATGACATAGAACCTTGGTCACAATTGCCTCAACATTATCTATAGTAAGAGAAGGCATAGAAGTTGCCGCAACGAGAATGACTGGAGTAGAGGAGTTAAACAGTGTAGCGGCCATGACTAGATTAGTGATTGGGGCAGGTCGGATCGCAACCGAAGAGTGACTAAAGAGTTGCGGGTGGATAGTCAGAAGTTGTTGGAGGATGGCCGGGAGGTGATTAGAACGTCGTTGGAAGATGATCAGAAATTTGCTAGAAAATTGTCGGAGCAGCTCGGAAGTTTGCTAGAGAATGGACTGAATAGATAGGAAGTTCATTAGAGGATGACCGGAAGTTTGCCCGAGGATGGCTAGAGCAGATCAAAACTCCGCTGGAGGATGGCCGAAAAAGGAAGAGCCTCAAGAGTTATGATCCGAAGGATCCCTCATATACAACCACATGACATATTATCCTTGACTAAAAGAATTCACAAGCCTAGGCTCTGATGCCATGTGAAAGAAGAAAATAGAAAACGAATATCAACTGTATATTAGTTTGGTGTACTTTTTTGTATATATAAGGAGTATATTTATACTACAGGAGAATAGTAAAGTATCATAATCTAACCGATGTGGGACAAAATAAACATATAAACATATACACATTAGCAACGATCATCCCGCCTAAATCACATACAAGCTGCAGAGCCGCCTAAAACATAGGAACACGAATGCTAAATCATAGGCAATAATGAATCGAAAGAAATCAAGGGGAAATAAAAAAAAATATATGACAGAGACATAGGTATGCCACCTAAGCCTAGCAGAAGACCAAAAATCCTAGTAAAAAGGGGACGGTCTAGCATTATAAATACCAAAAAAAGCTTAAGTACAAAGTAGACACTTCTTCCCAGCTATCTAAATCCCTTATTGCCAAAGATTTTACTAACTTAACTATTAGAGTGCTTCCAATTGGTTTAATCCCGATCTTTGACAGTTTGCCTATTTTGCAGGAGGAAGGGTGCTATCCATGTTCGTATTTCTCAGTTAAACTCTTTGAATTAAAGATAAAAAAAAATTCCTCTTATATGCACAAACCTAAAGTCTTCATTGAGTTCAACGACGAACTTTATAACAAACAGATAAATGAAAAGTACCACAATTTGTCGTGCATAGGCGTTGAGAAGAATGTTGGCAAATTCGGAAGGACTGGAAATGTTGCTGGACGGGTAAAGGGCAGGTAGGAGATAGTTGTTGATATAATCATTGCTCCCAAACACCATTACTGCCACGGATTTAGCCAGGTATTGAGTCAGGTTTGCTCCACTCATCATTGTTCTTAGCTGCCTTAAAGTTGTCTCAAAATTCACCACCTGCTCACTTAAACTGTACCGATCTCCCTGCATTGTTAGCCATCAATAACACTTCAGTAAATTAGGACAATGTTTTAGAGTTCAATAACATTACTCTTACAGTTAAAGCATCTTCCGACATATTCGAGTCTCTTAAAGCACCTTCCAATACAGTTGTCAATGGGATAAATTTTAATCTATATATATTTAGATTTTCTATAATTTACTAATAAATGATAAAATTGAATTCAAATTAAGTGTAATTCACTAGGTGGTGATGGGGTCCCCTACCCCTCAATCATGCAGTGGGATGGGGTCCAAAGTGGTATTTATTCCATTGTCATTGTCATTGTCATTTTCTTTTTGTTTTACAGGATTAATTTAATACTGCATGCAAAAAAGAAAAAAAAAGTAATATAAATTATGGTGAGTGGAGATTAAGGTAGATACATAGTGTTGTCCTGTTTCATCAAGGATGCCAGCAGCTGCTGAAGCGTAGTTAACTCCGCCGAGAATTCTAGCTCCAACTGTGCTGGGATCTGCAAAGGCTGGAGGAGAAGGAACTCCCAACAACTCACCTGCAGGCCCAAAGGTTTCATACAAAAATAATAATTATACAAAATTGGACCATAAATATCAGTATTTAGGGACCATGCTCTTTTTTTTTTTTTTTTTCATATTTATGTATCATATGACAAGTTTATGTCAAAAAATTGTTAACAATTTAAATATTGTTTACTTGAAGGACCACACCGAAACATATTCAAGACTTTAGGGATCAAAATGAGACAAACTTTATACTTTGTAGACTTAAAAAATAGATCAAATTTATAAACTTAATGATGTGACAACAATGTGGTCAAATAAAATTATTGTGATAGTAATTGTTGAATTATCACTTGCCACATCATTATGGGTCAATAAATTAATTTAATTTTTTAGGTCTCAATATAAAGAGTAAATTATACTTTACTCCCCTAAACTATTACCCTTATTTGACTTTGTACCTTTAACTATAAAATTTCTCACATTGCACCCTTAAAAATTAATTTTATTTCATGTCACTCCAATAAATAACGACAAACTTGAAAATCTTTCAAATGAGGGATGTAAATCCTAATGTGCTTCATACCAAGAGCCTAGTACCATTTTAATTTACCTCTTTTTCAATCAAATCATTGTTGAGAAAAAAAAGAAAATCGGATAGAAGAAGAAAATATTGAGCTTAGGAAAAGCAAAGTCATAGATAGGTATTTTTCTTGATTTTTGACATGCACATATGCAATAGACAGTTGTTTATTGGCAAGACACAGTTCACTCATATGCACATTTACCATTAAAAAATTGACATTCGTCATCAATTAGATTGATAAGAAATAAAATTGATACTTTAAAGTGCAATATCATAAATTTTATAATTGAGAGTACCAAATGAAATAAAGGTAATAGTTCAGAGGGTAAAGTATAATTTACCCCATATAAACTCATATATGTGCAGCATGGTGGCTTATCAATTGAGATAAGAAGTTACCAAGAAAATCAGCAAATGTTTTTCCATTGCTGAATCTGCCAGTGGCACCTCTATCGAAATCACACCCATATGGGAAATAGTTTGCTTTTGCCATGGAGTTGAGGTTGTTGTTATTTCCATCATCTACCAATGAATCTCCAAACACATAAAGGGCTGCAACTTGTGGTGACCCTTTTACACCCTTTGAGAGTTGCAGGATCAATAGCACCATGAACCACAGCCCGCCGCCATCCAAAATCGCCACCATCTTCACGCATAAGAGTTCTTCCCCCTTCTTTGTTGATACAAAAATTGTTGAACGGAAAAAGAAAGATAAACAGAAAAGAAGGCTTTTGGAGAATAAATTAAAATGTGAGTTTCTGGCATTTAAAGGTGTTATAAGANCGGTAATTGTTGAATTATCACTTGTCACATCATTATGGGTCAATAAATTAATTTATTTTTTAAGGTCTCAATATAAAGAGTAAATTACACTTTACTCCCCTAAACTATTACCCTTATTTGACTTTGTACCTTTAACTATAAAATTTCTCACATTGCACCCTTAAAAATTAATTTTATTTCATGTCACTCCAATAAATAACGACAAACTTGAAAATCTTTCAAATGAGGGATGTAAATCCTAATGTGCTTCATACCAAGAGCCTAGTACCATTTTAATTTACCTCTTTTTCAATCAAATCATTGTTGAGAAAAAAAAGAAAATCGGATAGAAGAAGAAAATATTGAGCTTAGGAAAAGCAAAGTCATAGATAGGTATTTTTCTTGATTTTTGACATGCACATATGCAATAGACAGTTGTTTATTGGCAAGACACAGTTCACTCATATGCACATTTACCATTAAAAAATTGACATTCGTCATCAATTAGATTGATAAGAAATAAAATTGATACTTTAAAGTGCAATATCATAAATTTTATAATTGAGAGTACCAAATGAAATAAAGGTAATAGTTCAGAGGGTAAAGTATAATTTACCCCATATAAACTCATATATGTGCAGCATGGTGGCTTATCAATTGAGATAAGAAGTTACCAAGAAAATCAGCAAATGTTTTTCCATTGCTGAATCTGCCAGTGGCACCTCTATCGAAATCACACCCATATGGGAAATAGTTTGCTTTTGCCATGGAGTTGAGGTTGTTGTTATTTCCATCATCTACCAATGAATCTCCAAACACATAAAGGGCTGCAACTTGTGGTGACCCTTTTACACCCTTTGAGAGTTGCAGGATCAATAGCACCATGAACCACAGCCCGCCGCCATCCAAAATCGCCACCATCTTCACGCATAAGAGTTCTTCCCCCTTCTTTGTTGATACAAAAATTGTTGAACGGAAAAAGAAAGATAAACAGAAAAGAAGGCTTTTGGAGAATAAATTAAAATGTGAGTTTCTGGCATTTAAAGGTGTTATAACAATTAAAATTTTTTGAGACAAGTTTTTTATGACAGCTGCGTTTACTATCATGAAAAATTGTGATAAGAAAAAAAGTTTTTCGTGGCGGTTGTGTTGTCATAAAAAGATTATTTGGTACCACAAATACTATTTGAGACGGATCGTTGTCACCATAAAATTTTTTTGAGACTTCACTTATTATAGAGTAATAAATGGAGTCTTAAAAAGTTTTTATGACNGGGAAACCCTAATGTGCTTCATACCAAGAGCCTAATACCATTTTAATTTACCTCTTTTTCAATCAAATCATTGTTGAGAAAAAAAAGAAAGTCGGATAGAAGAAGAAAATATTGAGCTTAGGAAGAGCAAAGTCATAGATAGATATTTTTCTTGATTTTTGACATGCACATATGCAATAGACAGTTGTTTATTGGCAAGACACAGTCCACTCATATGCACATTTACCATTAAAAAATTGACATTTTTCATCAATTAGATTGATAAGAAATAAAATTGATACTTTAAAGTGTAATATCAGAAATTTTATAATTGAGAGTACCAAATAAAATAAAGGTAATAGTTCAGAGGGTAAAGTATAATTTACCCCATATAAACTCATATATGTGCAGCATGGTGGCTTATCAATTGAGATAAGAAGTTACCAAGAAAATCAGCAAATGTTTTTCCATTGCTGAATCTGCCAGTGGCACCTCTATCGAAATCACACCCATATGGGAAATAGTTTGCTTTTGCCATGGAGTTGAGGTTGTTGTTATTTCCATCATCTACCAATGAATCTCCAAACACATAAAGGGCTGCAACTTGTGGTGACCCTTTTACACCCTTTGAGAGTTGCAGGATCAATAGCACCATGAACCACAGCCCGCCGCCATCCAAAATCGCCACCATCTTCACGCATAAGAGTTCTTCCCCCTTCTTTGTTGATACAAAAATTGTTGAACGGAAAAAGAAAGATAAACAGAAAAGAAGGCTTTTGGAGAATAAATTAAAATGTGAGTTTCTGGCATTTAAAGGTGTTATAAGAATTAAAGTTTTTTGAGACAAGTTTTTTATGACAGCTGCGTTTCACTATCACGAAAAATTGTGATAAGAAAAAAAGTTTTTCGTGGCGGTTGTATTGTCATAAAAAGATTATTTGTTACCACAAATACTATTTGAGACGGATCGTTGTCACCATAAAATTTTTTTGAGACTTCACTTATTATAGAGTAATAAATGGAGTCTTAAAAAGTTTTTATGACGGCAATGGTTCATCTCAAATAGTATTTGAGACATCAAATAAATCTTTTGNGAATTAAAGTTTTTTGAGACAAGTTTTTTATGACAGCTGCGTTTCACTATCACGAAAAATTGTGATAAGAAAAAAAGTTTTTCGTGGCGGTTGTATTGTCATAAAAAGATTATTTGTTACCACAAATACTATTTGAGACGGATCGTTGTCACCATAAAATTTTTTTGACACTTCACTTATTATAGAGTAATAAATGGAGTCTTAAAAAGTCTTTATGACGGCAATGGTTCATCTCAAATAGTATTTGAGACATCAAATAAATCTTTTGTGACATCATTATCGCTATAATTTTTTTTTTCTTTAAAAACACCTTATTTTTGTGATGATGAACAAAGTTGCCAAAAAAAAAAAATTTATCTTAAAAGACCATAATTCTTGTAGTGTGGGAGGAGAGGTTGGCCTTTGGAACGGATTAGTATGTAAGCAAAACCCATGAAATGCCGTTTTTCTTTATGTTTTTTTCTCAATTTGGGNTTGGCCTTTGGAAGGGATTAGTATGTAAGCAAAACCCATGAAATGCCGTTTTTCTTTATGTTTTTTTCTCAATTTGGGATGCTTCTTCAACGTCTCATTTGTTTTGTCTCTCGCTATCATTTTGGATGTCTTCTGGACTCTTTGTTTGAATGTGTGTAGATGCAACGCAAATGTGAAGGCTTCAATTACACACACCTTTTGGCCGAGGATCATGGAAGGATTACTCCGGTAGCCGCAGCTTAAGCGCTCAACACTATTGATATAGTGTAACGATTACGCTCAATATTTTTTCCTCTATTTGAGGATAACCATTGGAAACATCTTGTTCAACCATAGGTTAAAGTTGTGGAGTGCAATGAGATGCGCATGTTGTGGCAGTGGTCCACACGATAGCATAAACTACTNAGCAGCTTAAGCGCTCAACACTATTGACATGACATGGTGTAACGATTACACTTAATATTTTTTTCTCTATTTGTGAATAACTATTGAAAACATCTTGTTCAACCATAGGTTAAAGTTGCGGAGTGCAATGAGATGCGCATGTTGTGGCAGTGGTCCACACGATAGCATAAACTACTAAATAAAAGAAGAAATCGAACATTACACGCTTTGAATTAATCCAAATAAGTTACAATAAATGATATTTATACAGAATATAAGATTATTTTAGAATAAAAGATATACAATAAGATACGACTTGATTGACACGACACCTGAAACAGTAAGTTCAATAGACTAGGGATGATACCTAAAGTTGAATGAAGAATGGAAAATAAAACTAAGCATTTTTCAAAAAACTAATTACGGTTTATGCGAGGAGAGCTAGAAAATGATTGAATCAGTTGGTTGAAGGACCTTTTCCAGGTTTCCTGGTCATAAATGGGCGGCGCAGTCTGGCACGTAGCACATGGGCATGCAATGCACACCACACTGGATTGGACGTCACACAATCTTCGTGCTAAAGTTGGAAGCTCATCTCACAGTTTCATGTCTATCATTTCCCTTTCTAGCACTTCAAATTTTTGGTAGCCTTCTCCATTTTTCTATTTTTGCCATGGTTACGTGTTAAGACTTTGGATTGCAACCAAAGTAGTGAGCACACAGTGCTTGGGTGAGAAAATTAAAATCCTAAAACAACAACTCGAAATAAATTTTCTTTATAATAGGGGTGCCAAATTTTCCCATTAACACGAATATGATTTAAAATAAATTTTGAAAATGGCATGTTTAATTGAAATGAATGACAAAGAGGTCAACGTAAAGTTAAACACGAATAACATGATTTACAGGTATTATAGGCAGAAAATACACATTTTATAATTTTTTTATATAATATCATATGAGGTGTTTATAGAATTAAATAATTTTTTACTGACACGAACTTGACACTTATCGAAAATGACACAAATTGAAAGTAATACGACACAAAAAATAACACGACTCGATTGAAACTCTTAACTATTAGTTTAATTGTTTTGACTTATAATTCATTTAAAATTCTTAATTAAGTTTTTGCTTTGCTAATATATCCATTTCAATTGAATATATAACTATTCAACTTAATCAATCTTGTGACATACTCGATCGATCTTAGATATGTAAGATTTTATCAATTCTAATATTTAAATTCTTTTTCATTTAGAAGCAAGAGTTAAATTTATTTCCAATAATGTTTTGTAATTAACGCATCGATGAAGTGTTTTCTCCTATTCATAAAAGTTCTTTTAAAACTTTAAATTTTGTGTAATACCCGATAATTTCAAAACTCGTGTCCCCATCACGAAGGGACAAGTGACATGAGTCATCAGTTGACATGTCAATGGGTTTTGACAGGATCCAACAAAATTGGTATGGACAACAGTATTACGGCAGACTTCAGCTCCGTGATAGCACTCCAGTGCTGCGGTAAACACCCCAATGCTATAATCGGCCACACTCTGGAGATAAGGCACCAAACTAGTAGAATTGTCATCATCAACCTACTGAACACAATTGCTCGATTGACCTAGTGGACTAAGAGGAGGGGTCCTCACCTAAGAACAAGAATATATGGTCCTTCTCAAAGGAGAATCGAGTAAAGGGGCAGATAAACATGATTATCAACATCGGCCTAGGGTAGGTCATTGGGATCATTGGTTTGGATCGACATATAGGATAATGGAACATATGAATTGATGGCTAAAGGACCAAAACTATGTGAGTTTCCTCTATCAGGCACCTTGACGAAGATCTAGAGGAAGGGGTTCAAAGAGTGAACAGAGAGCCCTACGTCCCTCTCGAGGTCATGGTCCGGTTGCGACCAGTCGTGATCATTAACCTTGGAAACCTCCTTTAGCCTCGGGTGTTGCAATCTCCCCGAGGGTCGCATCCAGGTTGCGTTTGAGAAATGTCAAATCCACATAATTAATGTTGGGACAAATGGCTCACAGTTAGCAGCCACTGGTATTACCACGGTTGAGGTAGTTGTGATTTGACGCGTGTGTTCGAGGGTCACGGTGGACAATCCGACCTGCCCGGACATTGTGTTAAATACCAACACACTTGCCCACCACGGGAGGGAAATTACTACTTGGCGGGTGAGAGCATTTTACTCTACCCACCTACCCTCTTCCCAATTGTTGGTCCCTTCGTTAATAGGCTACTCGGATTCCTTCTATCCCATCTATTTATCTTACTCATTCCCTTTGATTATCCTTGACATAGACATGTTTGTCAACCTCTTCTTTTAACCCCCACCTACATTCCTTTAGTGACTCCACTGAGGAGGTTTCTTCTCAATAATCTATGTATGTCACAACTTGTAGTGGAAGAGTATTGTCTAACAGTATGATCGGAAATAACAACGACAAGGAAAATGAGCAGTAGAAAAGCCTGTCCTAGCACAAGGATAACCATGGTTCTTTTGTGAGCCGAAATGCTCCCAAAGTGTTTGGCCCCTTCACAATGGTGTAGGATTTGCACAATATGCAGACTCTATAATATTAGATGGCTACAGCAATGCAGATGATGCAAGGTTGGATGTATTTCTAACTAGTTGGCTTGCAAAACCCACTTCGAGTTACGGTTTGTGATAAAAATCATGTGTTAAATCTAGAGTGATTATGAATATGTTGAAACCAAAGGCAATCCTCCTACTATTTCCAAATAATTTATGGATAGATATGCCAAACTTGAGGAAAATAAAGCCTAATCAAAACTTGTACAAAGTAGTAATTTAGCAAAATTGGAATATTGAGACCAAGTAACGAGCTATTTAAAAAACCAAAATGCAAGACTATGTTGCTTTAATGTTGCCTATAATATTTTGCTACTTTTAGGTATAATGCACAATGAAAATTTACAAAAGACAGTATCTATACCCATGTAACTAATGGTAATCCATTGAATTTAAGAATCTACATCACCTAAATATTTGAGAATATAGAGTTTCACTTCCTCTTCCACAACATGTATCTAAAAGCTCCTTCAATTGGTTTGAAGATTTTTTATTTCAAATTAGTGTAGTAATAATACTGTGTATAGTATCTTTTAATTATTTTATGACTGTAACAAATGAAATTAAAGTTATCTGCATAGCTATTTTTAGTACTAATCAGATGAATCATCACTAGTTGGCTGAGATACTTTTGCCTGTAGGCAGAAATAAAATATCTGTTGTTAGGACCAATGAAGAACCAAAAAACGGAAGAACAATAATATCATCGGATTAGACAAATACATCAATGCAGTAGACATAAATCTAATTACCTCTAGGGAGGAAGGTCCAAGCAGCAATCCTGACCTCAATGCCAGCAACTATGTTATCCTACAAAAAATGGGGGAAAAGAATGGCCAGTGCGCTTTCCAATTGTAGTTAATATATCATATTATTAGGGCTCACTTTTATGTCAAAATGGAGATTGTCTGCTATATGACAATCCTAAAGTGGATACTTAAGAAAATGTGTGTCGTATGTGATATAATTGTAATGATATTATAAAAGTCTGGTCAATGTCTCTACAAAGGCCAATTAAAAGGCAATACTATACTTTATTCAACTCTTCAGCAATTCATTCAGTCACCAGAGCAACAATTAGATAGAAGTATAACATTATAAGTTGATGATGTGAAGAAAATAACTATGCAGCTAA